GAGGAGGAGGAGGAGGTTGGGGCGACAGAAGCTGCTGAGGAAGTGGTCGTCTCTGCTCCACCGCCACCGCCACCGCCACCGGAAACTGCGGCCACCAGCGATGAAACGGTCGTCCCCGAGCTTCCCAGCAGACCTTCACCTCCGCCGGAAGTGCTGTCCAGCGTGTCGTAGTCGTCGATGATGTAGTCGCCCAGGCCCAGGCCCAGGCCGTTACCACTGCCACTGCCGCTCACATTATCTTCGCCGCTACTTTTTGAGCTGCTGCNGATGTAGTCGCCCAGGCCCAGGCCCAGGCCGTTACCACTGCCACTGCCGCTCACATTATCTTCGCCGCTACTTTTTGAGCTGCTGCTGCTGCTGCTGAGCAGACGAGGAAAGAGATCCGCCAGATATGAGTAGGTGGTGGTGAGCGGCGGCGTCACCGTCGCCCCTGAGGTGGATTGCTGTGGACTGCTGTTCGAAGCAACTGCTGAAGAGTGGTGGTGGTGATCATGGTGACCACCATCACCATCACCCCCAAACTGGTAGGACCCTGCTGCCGAAGCGGAGCGGAAGCTGCCGCCGCCGCCGCCGCCGCTGCTGTTGTGATCGGCCAGAGCGGCCGTCGATGAGTTGAGAATGTTCAGCGAGATGCGCCGGACGGTGCTGGTGAGAACTCCGGAAACTCCAGAAACTCCTGTTTGCTGCTGCTGTTCACTGTCGTGGTGCCGCTGGTGCATCAGGTGGTGGCTGCCCGTGGCCGTCGAGCTGGCGTAGTGCTCCAGCAGATGCTGCTGTTGTTGTTGTTGCTGTGGACTGTTTTTGATAAGTTCATTATCATCATCAGAGTTGGTCGCTGTTGTGACCGCCACTGCAGCCTCAGCAACGGCAGAGGTAAACAGAGCACCGGCGGCGGCGGCGGTGGCCAGAGCGCCCAGGGCGCCCAACGCAAATGACGGTACTCGATGACTGCTGCTCGTTGACTGCTGCTGCTGCTGCTGCCGTTCACAGAGGTCGTGTTGGGAGTTTTTTGCAGTGGTGGGCGTTTCTAATGATGATGAAAGTTGCGGTGAACAGGAAGAGATATTGCCGTTTCCGGTGCCAGAAAGTGGTGATGATGATGGTGACTGCCGTGGTTGCTGGTGCTGTGACCGCCGCCACTTTTGCCTTCTGCGATGGTGGTGAACTGCTTCACTGTCAACACTAGGGGATCTCACTTTTGGTTGTGTCATTTTGAATGAGTGCTGCCGGTGGTGATGGAATTGTTTTTTTCCACCGACTGAAATTGTTTCAATTAGAAGTAACAAGGTAGAGTGCAAAACTTTGATTTTAGCCCAAAATGAAAGAGTTTTTGAGGTAGTGAGTGAGTAAATGAGTGCAACTTTCACACTTTTGCACTAGTTACGCAGAACTTTGGTTGCTGCTGCTGTTGATGTTTTTTCCAAGAAACGTGAACTAACGTGAATTTTTTTTCAGAGATTAAAACAGCGAAAGAAATGATGCTCAGTCGGCGATGCATTCATATCGCCTCTTTGCAGTGCAAAACAACTGATGTGCTGGTCAGAGGAAAAAAAGTAGTAGTTGATGAATGCTAATCCATTTTAGCAGAAGAAAAAAAAGATGTGCAAAAAGAAGTTGGCCTTTGTTATTTAATTAGCCCTTTTCAGAGAGAGCTGTTTTTTTT